ACAGAGTTCACGTTTTTTCGCAACGGAAATATTGGTTCGTTATATCCAGGGTTCGGTATAAATAGGTTCGGTATAAACAGTGTCAACTGTATTTAGTAATTACGTAATACGCAATCATGTTTGCACGAAACGAATGAAATGGTATATATTTTTATAATTAATACCGTACTAGTACTCTAATAAATGAGTATACATAAAAAAATTATCGACCAATTTGTTCAATTTCATACAACGACTGTAAAGTATCAATTTTATGGTTCGAAAAATGTCTGAGACACACCATTATATATCAAGATGTTGCTTGTTACAAAAACAGGGCACTAATCTTATAAGCATAAACGAATGTTCTCGCTAATATTTCCATAGTAATAGTTATTGATACGCCATTTCGTTAGGAACACAGCACCCGAACAATTACATACCTGCATGTTAACAGCTCGACCTCGACGACGAAGAAAGATCAAAAATCCGTCGACCAAAGTGACGAGGCGTAATGCTAACAAGCATTTCAAGAAGTCAGAATTACGGTACAGAGCAAGCGCATTAACAGTGACTATCTCGAATCTTTCGTTCACCTGATTGTTACTACATTGCAAAGAATTTTTGTCGTCTATTAGGGACATGACCTGATTGCTACAAACTGGGATCCCAATGCTACGCTTCGGCAGAAGTAAATTTTATCTACATGACCTTTTATTGCTACGCACATTGCAGAAGCAAGCATGCGATTAGCTTTGCATTTCTCTTGGCTCTGCTCATAAACTCATCGACGTCGTTTTTCAATCGTTGTAGCTATCAAAAACTAGGGCTGATGTCGATGCTGAATGCTCCGGCTGGAGGCGTTGAAAAGATAATGAGGAGGAAGTCGATGTGGAAACGTTGAAAAACATTTTGGGTCCAGATGCGGGCATCATAGAGCGAGATGAAGAGGGGAATGTCATAAACGTTATTTTGGGGAAAAGTAAAGAAGAACTCGAAGAAGACAAGGAAGTGGAACCTGCACCAGCAAAGACAGATATTGTGTGGGGTATGTGTGATCACTATTTTTTTTTTTTTGTAAATTTGCATATTATACAAATGTTTCTTAAACGCAAATCACATCATATTAAATGTTTGTATAGCTCTTGAAGAAGAGGCTGCTGTCGTATAGCAAGAAAGAATCATTTTAAGAGGCAGCGCAAAAGCAATATATTAAACGGCTGATCGATAAACATGGCGATAACTACAAAGCAATGGCACGGAACATTAAACTCAATATATATATCAGCATACCAAGGCTCAGCTTAAGAGCAAGTGTGAGAAATATTTGCGAACTGCTGATAGCCCGCGACAATTTAATGTATTATAATAATTGGTAAATTTTAGTGGCATATGTAACGATATTTAAAGTGAGAGTACAATAACGAGCTGTGAATCATGGGCGCGCTGCAGAAGAGGATTACCGTTAGAAGGTTACGGGATAAAAGTATCGGCAAAGACCGTAGACTGATATCAATAAGTATCATGCACACAACGAATTTTGTGAAACGATAGCGATAGATTCTTTTGAATTAACCGGTTTCTCGTTTTCCCAATAGCGTTCGGATACTCGTGATGGGTTTCCGTTACACATGCTACCCATGATCGTCTTTGTCATTACTACATTACTATCGTCTAATACATGCATGTAACAGAGACTTCATCTTAATAATTTTGTATGGGTTCATGCACCGTGCACCCCCATGACGTAATGTACCTTAGCAGGTGCGAACTATTATGTAATAGTAATAGTACCCGAATCGAAATTGTTTGTAACTGAGTAGATTAATAAATGACTTTAACACTGCCAACTGCCTTTAATTCGACTGCCTTCATCAGTCAAATTACATATTTTAGGAAGTACAATCATATTAAAAAATCGGGGCTGGATAAGTTGAATTATAGGGAGTCAAATTCTCAGTATAATAAATCGTGCAATCAATGGTAATAGTAACATTAGTTGAACGAACGGCCAATTTTATTGTCCAGTTATAGTGATATTCAAAACACACTGCCTACTCTAGCTAATTTTTTTTTTTCGGACATTAGGCTTGTATGCCCACGCTCTCGCACAATTACCACACTGGTTTTGATGCTTAACTGGTCTCAACTCTTCTGCTCGCTTGATTCGTTTAGAACTTTCGGGCGACATTTTGCTTTGCGTTTTCTTGGGTTCTGAAAAAATCGATCAGTTGATGGGTCATTTCTTTGTCTTGTTTTCTCCATCGTTTTCATGCTCACGTAAATTATCATCGTAATCGTTATTAGTGGTGCTGTTTTCATCAGTCTGATTATCTACTTGTTCACTTTGTTGCATTTCAGTTAACAGATCCTGCAGTTTCTTAAGAATATCTCGCTCGCGAAATCGAACAGCTCTTTGTGTAATATCCTCCACAGTTCTCCATATAGTTTTCGCTCATTGATATCTTCCCTTCTTTCCTCTCGGAGGTCTGCTGGAGATACAAACCAATCTATTGTATTACCTCTAACCAGTTCTGTTGATTGATGTTGGGAATTATCTTCATAAAACCTTGTAGCAACATAATACAGTTAAAGAAGAGGCTTAGAACTCCATAATACAAAGATAGCGCTTGTTTCTAAGAAATACGGCAACAGAGAAGTGCGTTGTCTTAAGAAGGTAGTGGATATACCTCTCTTCGCGACATAATGGTAAATGGTGTCCGACCGGTCCACACTCGTAACGTACCGATTTGTTTGCGACTTGAATCAATGTAAAAATATTCGATTCGAACAGCCTGCGCGTAAGCAAGCACACAATAATAAATGTCAAATAAATACAAGAATATTAGATACTAATACTCAGCTTACGCGTAAGCAAGCATATACTGTATAATTGACACTTACGAATCCTATACTCGAAAGGGGAAAAGAGTAACCCAGCATCGTGCAATTTATGTATCGACGTTAACACGAAACGCTGATTGGCTGCATTACAACTTTTAATTTAGGGATGCACGGCCGTGGGCAGGAACTCGCACAGCGGGCCCCCCAAATTTCTTCGAAAATTCTGTGATGTGATTGACCCTGATTTCTTCGAAAACTTTGATTGGCTCGTTGCTAATCTGGAGTAATTCCAGTCACTACAGTCCTAATTTCATGACCAGAGTTAAGACATTCGAAATGTTAGACTTGACGTCACCTGAAATCACAGTCGAAGCTCTCAAATTCTAAACGAAGCCAAACTACAAGCGGGTAACTACGTATCTATTACTATGCCGTTGGCTTACGGTCAATAATAACACGTTAAATATCCATCCTCTGAAAAGCAACGGACTAAGCATATGTTTATGAGTTAAGTCACTTTTTACCACATCAAGATGAATGCATTATTGTACTAATTGATCTATAAAGTACTATTTAGACGCTTTGATGCTTTTGAGACACAAGATATCCCATTCGTAAATCATAATAACAGCGAGGAAGGTTAAAAGTTCAATAGTCAACTACTACTGGATCGCGTGTTATGTCATCGTATTATAATAACTGGATCGTAGCAAAAGCGTTGCATTATCATCAACGACAAGACTGTCAATTCTAACAAATATTCTATCGCAATATCCGAATGAAGATGAATATTGCATGTTCAGATAAAGGTACAATCTAATCTGTGTATAGCTACACTAATCGATACAGTAAAATAAGCTTTTTTTTCCGACTTCTAACAAATATTCTTATAGCATATAAAACAATTATGGAACGAATAAAGATTGCGTATGTAAGTGATAATTACAATCTGCGTATAGCTACACTAATCGGTAAATAAACAACCTTTTCTTTCCT